AACACATCTCTCTGTCCTCCTTAAAAACACATCTCTGTCCTCCTTAAAAACACATCTCTCTGTCCTCCTTAAAAACACATCTCTCTGTCCTCCTTAAAAACACATCTCTCTGTCCTCCTTAAAAACACATCTCTCTGTCCTCCTTAAAACACACATCTCTGTCCTCCTTAAAAACACATCTCTCTGTCCTCCTTAAAAACACATCTCTCTGTCCTCTTCAAAAACACATCTCTCTGTCCTCTTTAAAAACACATCTCTCTGTCCTCCTTAAAAACACATCTCTCTGTCCTCCTTAAAAACACATCTCTCTGTCCTCCTTAAAAACACATCTCTCTGTCCTCCTTAAAAACACATCTCTCTGTCCTCCTTAAAAACACATCTCTCTGTCCTCCTTAAAAACACATCTCTCTGTCCTCCTTAAAAACACATCTCTCTGTCCTCCTTAAAAACACATCTCTCTGTCCTCCTTAAAAACACATCTCTCTGTCCTCCTTAAAAACACATCTCTCTGTCCTCCTTAAAAACACATCTCTTGTCCCTCCTTCACAAACACATCTCTCTGTCCTCCTTAAAAACACATCTCTCTGTCCTCCTTAAAAACACATCTCTCTGTCCTCCTTAAAAACACATCTCTCTGTCCTCTTCACAAACACATCTCTCTGTCCTCCTTAAAAACACATCTCTCGTCCTCCTTAAAAACACATCTCTCTGTCCTCCTTAAAAACACATCTCTCTGTCCTCCTTAAAAACACATCTCTCTGTCCTCCTTAAAAACACATCTCTCTGTCCTCCTTAAAAACACATCTCTGTCCTCCTTAAAAACACATCTCTCTGTCCTCCTTAAAAACACATCTCTCTGTCCTCCTTAAAAACACATCTCTCTGTCCTCCTTAAAAACACATCTCTCTGTCCTTCTTAAAAACACATCTCTCTGTCCTCCTTAAAAACACATCTCTCTATCCTCCTTAAAAACACATCTCTCGGTCCACCTTAAAAACACATCTCTCTGTCCTCTTCACAAACACATCTCTCTGTCCTTCTTAAAAACACATCTCTCTGTCTCTGTCTCTGTCCTCTTAAAAACACATCTCTCTGTCCTCCTTAAAAACACATCTCTCTGTCCTCCTTAAAAACACATCTCTCTGTCCTCTCTTAAAAACACATCTCTCTGTCCTCCTTAAAAACACATCTCTCTGTCCTCCTTAAAAACACATCTCTCTGTCCTCCTTAAAAACACATCTCTCTGTCCTCCTTAAAAACACATCTCTCTGTCCTCCTTAAAAACACATCTCTCTGTCCTCCTTAAAAACACATCTCTCTGTCCTCCTTAAAAAATCTCTGTCTCCTAAAAACATCTCTCTGTCCTCCTTAAAAACACATCTCTGTCCTCTCTCTGTCCTCCTTAAAAAACACATCTCTCTGTCCTCCTTAAAAACACATCTCTCTGTCCTCCTTCATCTCCCCTAAAACACATCACTCTCTGTCCCCTTAAAAAACACACTCTCTGTCCTCCTTAAAAACACACCTCTCTGTCCTCCTTAAAAAACACATCTCTCTGTCCTCCTTAAAAACACATCTCTCTGTCCTCCTTAAAAACACATCTCTCTGTCCTCCTTAAAAACACATCTCTCTGTCCTCCTTAAAAACACATCTCTCGTCTGTCCGTCCCTTAAAAACACATCTCTCTGTCCTCCTTAAAAACACATCTCTCTGTCCTCCTTAAAAACACATCTCTCTGTCCTCTCTTAAAAACACATCTCTCTGTCCTCCTTAAAAACACATCTCTCTGTCCTCCTTAAAAACACATCTCTCTCCTCTAAAACACATCTCTTGTCCTCCTTAAAAACACATCTCTCTGTCCTCCTTAAAAACACATCTCTCTGTCCTCCTTAAAAACACATCTCTCTGTCCTCCTTAAAAACACATCTCTCTGTCCTCCCCTTAAAAACACATCTCTCTGTCCTCCTTAAAAAACACATCTCTCCGTCCTCCTTAAAAACACATCTCTCTGTCCTCCTTAAAAACACATCTCTCTGTCCTCCTTAAAAACACATCTCTCTGTCCTCCTTAAAAACACATCTCTCCGTCCTCCTTAAAAACACATCTCTCTGTCCTCCTTAAAAACACATCTCTCTGTCCTCCTTAAAAACACATCTCTCCGTCCTCCTTAAAAACACATCTCTCTGTCCTCCTTAAAAACACATCTCTGTCCTCCTTAAAAACACATCTCTCTGTCCTCCTTAAAAACAAATCTCTCTGTCCTCCTTAAAAACACATCTCTGTCCTCCTTAAAAACACATCTCTGTCCTCCTTAAAAACACATCTCTCTGTCCTCCTTAAATACACATCTCTCTGTCCTCTTTAAAAACACATCTCTGTCCTCCTTAAAAACACATCTCTGTCCTCCTTAAAAACACATCTCTCTGTCCTCCTTAAAAACACATCTCTCTGTCCTCCTTAAAAACACATCTCTTTGTCCTCTTCACGAACACATCTCTCTGTCCTCCTTAAAAACACATCTCTCGGTCCTCCTTAAAAACACATCTCTCTGTCCTCCTTAAAAACACATCGCTCTGTCCTCCTTAAAAACACATCTCTCTGTCCTCCTTAAAAACACATCTCTCTGTCCTCCTTAAAAACACATCTCTCTGTCCTCCTTAAAAACACATCTCTCTGTCCTCCTTAAAAACACATCTCTGTCCTCCTTAAAAACACATCGCTCTGTCCTCCTTAAAAACACATCTCTCTGTCCTCCTTAAAAACACATCTCTCTGTCCTCCTTAAAAACACATCTCTCGGTCCTCCTTAAAAACACATCTCTCTGTCCTCCTTAAAAACACATCGCTCTGTCCTCCTTAAAAACACATCGCTCTGTCCTCCTTAAAAACACATCTCTCTGTCCTCCTTAAAAACACATCTCTCTGTCCTCCTTAAAAACACATCTCTCGGTCCTCCTTAAAAACACATCTCTCTGTCCTCCTTAAAAACACATCGCTCTGTCCTCCTTAAAAACACATCTCTCTGTCCTCCTTAAAAACACATCTCTCTGTCCTCTTCACATGATTTGGTTTTGTGTCAAGTCATCATGAATCTCTCCCAAAGACGTTTTGTTCTGTGCTTATTATCTGGGAATGTCATGTTCTGTCCTGTTGGATTTAAGGACTCCACCTGCGTTTTTCATTAATATGATCATTAATATACACTTAATAAATGTATAAAAGTTTAGAAAAAAAAAGTTCATCCAGTCATGACTTTTGTGACTTTTTAGTTTTACTTTCCTGTCTAGAAACCTCTTTGTAACCAGCAATATTCAGGATAGCAAATTCTCCAGTCATAAAAAAATAAATCTATCTTTACTTAATGAACTTGCTTTGAATTTCACATCTGGAATTGAGTTTATTTCTTGCCTAATTGAGCAGACATTAAGACTCACTCATTAAATACTTAGATTCTGTGATTTTGACTGCCGTATTTGTCTGAGACCCTCTCTTCGACTGGGGATTACAGGAGAACAAAAATAGCTAGAAACAAACTTATTTTTGCTGATCAAAGTTGACAATCCAGTCTTTCAGAATCTGGTTTCATATTTCACATAGGCTTAGGAATTAATATTCTGTGGGTTTTGAGAATCAGTGAAATCATCAAAAACGCCTGGGTTAACATTATTTTAACATAGGGGCCTATAATATATTACTATTCTTGACCCTTTCAACTCACTCATCTATAGATCAGCGCTCTGGTAATTTAGCCGTATACTTTTCCCCATTTATCTCCAATCTTTTGCGTTGTGCTTGTGCAATTTCTTTTCTATTCTAATCTTATCCCCAGCCTCTCGTAATGCTTCCTGTCCTTTGTTTTGTTGTGTTTGGTTCGTAGCAGCAGGTTGGTATGTATCAGGCCGTCCTCTTTCTGACTTCAAGCTAAACCTGCTCGACATCTCCGAGCTCCCCGCACCTTTCCACCTGCCCTCTTTCCTCCTCGTGCAAAGGAAAAGTGGTGGAGTGCGTGATCGCTGATAGATTTCGCCGTATGTGGAGGTCAAAGGGAGGTGAGGAGGGTGCGCTTGGCAGGTGCTGGTGAATTAAACGAAGCCGGACTGCATCACTGATTAATTAGAGCGGTGCGTTGGGCGGCTTTACTCCCCAACAAGACGCACGGGCCGTTCACCTTCTTAACTTAACTCCTGCGCTGCCATCTGCCTAATCCAAACGCACAGCAGGAAAACACAGCATTGCAGCCTTTTATATACAAAGATATACATGGACTAGTGGCTGTAACAAATGTTTTATTTTGTTGAAACGTACAATACACACATTTGTAAATACTTCTGAACAAAGAGCAATTATAGCGGCAGAGTTGATATTTTATTTATTTTACCATCTTATTATCTTATTTTAATTATATTGTCTGTTATCTTCAATAATAGACTCTGTTTGATGTCTGAGTCTTATTTCCTTCTTTCTCTGCTGTAATGTGCAACAATGACACTGAATTTTCTCTGAATCTTATCTTAAATATTGTGTATAAATATATCCATCCATCCTCATTTCATTTCATTTCATTTCACATTTTATGAAATAACTTTCCAAAGTGCTGCACAGAGATACATTCAACACATTTACATATACAAGTTTGCCAGCCTTATGTGTAGAAAAAAATAAATAATAATAATGAATGAACCAATCATTGCATTTTCTTGTGTTTAAACTGTTAGATTCTCTGATCAGTGTTGACGAATTCATTTGTGAAGTCCTCCGAGATAACAGTCTATAACTGTGATTTAGGGCTATACAAGAATACATGGACTTGAATTGAAAAGCAAAATGAAAACAATCCTGACTCACAGTAACAATGACGGTGATGTGTGTGTCTGACCCTGAAATCCAAAAGCCAAATAGCTGTAGTTGAAACTAATTGTCAAGAAGAAACTTTTACGAGATGAAAAATAGGTCACCTGAAAATGCCAATCTACAAATGAAATGTTTGTTCTTTGTCAACAGGGAGACGGCCAACATCCCTCTGATTGCTCTGGGCCTTAAGGAGACAAAAGAAGTGGATTTTTCTGCCCCATTTAAGGTAATTCATATCATTCACAGGTAATAATTCCGGGATGTGATGTGGGCGAACTATTGTGCACCTTTTATTATACGCATTGGGAATAACTATGATTTACAATACCGCCTTAAATGTGGGTCACTCAGTTGTGAAGATGCCACTTTGCTGTCAGGCTTGTGAAGGCGTGTAGCTGGAGATTCTCACAGCATGTTGCTACACTCTGCAGCCATTGTGAGATTTGGCACAGTATCAGCTCTTAAAAGACTACACTGGTTTATTCCCACGTCGGTCTAAAGGCACAGGTGTCACTTTCCCGTGAGCTCAGTGCACGTGGATTATGACACTGGGACTGTTTCAGGACTACATTCAGGAACACTACGACGAAGACGGTCGGCGTTACGAGGAGGAGATTGCTGACCTGATGGACCTACGGCAGGTAATAAAAACTAAGAACCTGAAGTGACCCTTCATAAGCACAGACAAAGGAGGTAAAGGAAATGCATGTCTGAGACCTCTCGTACTTGGCCCGAGGGAAAGAAACTTGAATCAAAGTCAACATTTTCTGGTCTTGAGTCGAGAAGCTCTTGAAAGGTAATAGTTTCTTAACATACAAAAAAGGTTTTCACTTTTATAATTTACTAATTGGTTAGACCATACACACCTAAAGGAGCAGTGTGTAAACGTGTGGCCAAAAGTGGTACTGCAGCCTCTCCCACTCTCCCTGACTCAGGTTGCCAGATATGCAGACGAATCCAGCTGGGACCATAACAGCTGAATAGACAAGAGTTTTGTCAACAACAAATCTATAACCAACACCTTTTTCACAAAGATAGAAATCCTGGTTTTATTCCTTGTTTTGTCGTTAATGATTTGAGAATCATAACGAGACCTTTTTTAGTTCTGCGCCACATGGTACTTTACCAGTGAGATTAGCTCCACATGGTACTTTACCAGTGAGATTAGCTCCACATGGTACTTTACCAGTGAGATTAGCTCCACGCGGTGAGTTCTGGCGCCCGGATCACAGACTCTCTGATTGGTGAAACAGTGGAGGGCGGGACATCAAAATAAAAACAATAACAAGATTTAGAGGCTGGAAAAGTAATTTAGAAATTTTAATATCTCTGAACTACTTTTATTAGTTAAAGAAGTATTGGAAAAGAGCATGTTCTATTTATGCCTTTTGACAGATTAGGGCTCTTTAATGATGACAGATTAGGGCCCTTTAATGATGACAGATTAGGGCCCTTTAATGATGACAGATTAGAGCCCTTTAATGATGACTTGACATGACAATCTTACATATTGCTGCTTTAAGTAAAGATTTTTTACGCTTTACATTTGTTACACACATGAGCTCTGTGCACTTTGTACCTGATGTCTTGTGTTATTTCCAGGCGTGCAGAACGCCCAGTCGAAACGAGGAAGGAGTGGATCTACTGGCTAAATACTTTGCCCACCTCCCTCTTGTCGAGAGTCGATTCTTCTCCCCTTCTCGACAGACAGGCATTTTCTTTACCTGGTAGGCCTTCAGGTTTACTCTATAGAACAATACTCTGCAATATACCGGTAGATGTATAGTTGATGACTTGATGACTTGATGACTTTAGTTGTTTTTTTTTAATTGTCTGGTGACTGTATTTTTTTCAGACAACACAGTCACCAGACACACACACACAATATGTACATACAAAACATAACATAACCCACTGACAAAACCCACTTAGCAGGCAATAGTAAAACAAAATACACAAGCTTGCAGATGAGGTAAGGTAAACAGGCAAGAAATACAAAATAAGAATACATTAAAAGAAAAGAAATGACATACAGACAGAATACATACAAGTCCTTGAGGTTTATTTTTTAATTTTTTTATTTTTTTATTCATTTATTTATTTTTATTTTACTTTATAGTTACACTGTTATTGTTCTGCTTTCAAGCCTTCTCTGCATGAAAAAAAAAAATCTGTTGGGATATCCCCTAGTTTTTCCTTGAGATTACTGGTATATGAATTATTGGGTACTACATGTATGGCTCATGTATTATTGTTTGGACATTTCCAATGAGAATGTTTAATAATAGCATTTTATTCCATATGTTACCTGTTAAGACTACGATATAGTGAAAAAGCATAGTATGACTTGACTTGGCATGGTTTAGATTGTTTGTTACATGAGCTGATACTCTTTGCTTCCAGGTATGACTCTTTCACTGGAGTCCCTGTGTGCCAGCAGAACCTGTCATTGGAGAAGGCCAGTGTCCTCTTCAACATGGCCGCGCTCTACTCTCAGATCGGCACCCGCAGTGACAGGCAGACTTTGAATGGACTCGATGAAGCTATTTCCTCTTTCCAGAAAGCTGCAGGTAACTCCCAGAGAAACACTTGTTAAGGATTGTATGCTTAGAAAATACAACAAATATAATACGATTACTCATACTAGAAGACAACCTGCTCCCAAGCGTTTGATATGAATGGAACATACCATGGCATTTATATCCATTTTTGTTGCTAATTTTCTAAAGTTAAACATAAAAAGTAGGAATCTAAAAGCAGTCTACGGTACCTTCCGGACCTGCTTCCACTTCTGCTTCAATCCAAGTTGTTATCACTTTATTCAGAGAAATCTACCAAAAGGATCCAGACTCGTGGCAATTGCCTTGAGTTGAAAAGAACAGACTCTTGATCTTGGTTCTTTCTTATTTATTGCACGGCTCTACAAGGCATTGTTAACAATAAAATATGTGTTAGCCACCACCCTTTGTAAGAACTAATAATAGCAACTTCAGAATCAACAGCGGGGATTCTAAAGTTGCTTGTCACATAACTGAGCCTGACCAAAGCCTGTCTGTCATGTTTAAATAAAGTTCTGTTCATAGAATAAGGATTTATTGTGCTGTTCACAAGATGTAGGTGTATAATTATAGCACAGGCCATGGCTGTAATTTAGAGACATACAAACTAGACCTCAGGGTGCTTTGAGATGGCATTTCACTGCGTCACGCAAACTTAAGTACTATGCAGATTCTGGAATAGATAATGGCTTATAGAAGTAGGAATGGTTAGTACAACTTTGACTGACTCATATTCCACCAGGGACCTTGCACTACCTCAAAGAGACGTTCACCCACACCCCGAGCTACGACATGAGCCCAGCTATGCTCAGTATGTTAATCCGGATGATGATCGCACAAGCCCAGGAGGGGATCTTTGAGAAGATTGCTCTTCCCGGGGTCAGAAACCACTTTTATGCTCTGCTTAAAATGTCCCAAGAAGCTGCAAAGGTAAGCAAGTCTCTTTCAGCAAAAGCAAGGAAAAACGTTTAACCATGCATCTGTATCGTTTTAACAGGTGTCAGAGATATATGACCATGTTCATCAATACATGATCCAGACCCCAATCAAAGACAATGTGCCTCTGTTCTGGTCAACCATGGCACAAGTGAAAACCAACCACTACCAAGCTGTGGCCCACTACTTCGTATCCTTGGCACTGTTGGAGCACCAGCGTAAGAAAACACTTTATAAACAGACTGGTTGTATGTGCATTTCAGATTTTCATAAGATTATAAACAGTGCACACCCGTTTTCAAAGACATTTCATAAACATGAGTCATTAAATTGCTGAGTTGCACAGTATGTGTTAACTTTTCTGCAGTGTTATAAGCCTTTGTTTTTCCACTGGGCTCTATAGGCCACTGCTCAGATTACCGCATTGAACCACAGCCAGCCACAGCCAGCCACAGTGCCATTACATAAGTGCCATTTAGAGGCACCCGTTTGAATAGTGGCTATTTTCCCAAGAACTAGAACTAGACTGGACACAGACATAGACAAAGATAGAAGACTTAAAATGTGACACCGGCATGAACAAAGGAAAAGGTTTACTTGATTGGTTTTAATGAGTATTTGATGAGTCTTAATGCGGAATATTTGGAGATAATTTGTGAGGCATAAGAAAGGGTTGAGACGGGGACATTCATACTAGATAATGGATGGATTGATCTGATAATTGGTATAGCAAAAGGTTAGTGAATGGTTTATTAAGTTTGAGACTGTAGATTATGAACAGCAATGCAAGGCCTTTGAGTTTGGCAGCTCATTAGCAGATTCCAGTGTCAAGTAGAAGAATGGCACGTTTGAGCACTGAACCTCAGCTGAGATACAAACCAGAACAGGATTTTCAGTTCAGCACATGTCTTTTTCTTATCACAATGTCCTCTGTATACCAAACAGGTTAATCATCAGTAGCTTTTCAAAACCCTTCACATTCTGTTCTAGTTGGAGCACAGGATGACGAGGACCAGCAGGAAAAGGCCTTGTCACAGGTTTATGACCACATTCCCGACGGGCGCACTCCCCTGGACATCCTGAAGAAAAAGGAAGAACGAGAGCGGATTGGTAAATGCAGCCTCAACACTCAAACTATAGCATTGGAACTCGATATTCAACTCTCTGCCCGCTCCTCCGAAGGTAAAGCCCACATTCGCCGAGCCATTCTGTGCCATGAGGAGGCCCTGAGGGTGTACAGCCTGAGCCTTCACTTAAACAAGTTGGAAATCCTCCAGGACATACTGAAGGCCAGTCTGCAGCGCTCTCTGGAAAAGTCCAGTGCACACGAAGAAGAGGAGGAGTTCACGGACTACATGGAGGCCCCTGACGTAATCGGTGAGTTTTGTTTTCAGACCACTAAGCACCAAGGGCCTGATCACTGGGGCTATAATGGTGCCTGATATAATGAATCTGTTCAGTGTAAACTGGCTCATTAGTAACATTATAGATGCAGTTACTTCAGTTACTAGTTATATCAGCGATGTTGTTAGCTTAGCCGTAGCACCAACTCCAAACCACTCCCCCCTCCCCTCCCTCTCCACCAAACCAAACATCCAGCATTTTCTTTTCTTTGTCACAGGGAGAGTGAAGCAAACGTGAAATTGGCATTTTCTGTTCAGTCATTTTAGGTTTTAGAAAATCTGATAACTCCGGTGCACTCTGAGAAACAGGAAGAGGGTGAAGGCGGTAAACACATCCCATTGGTTCGTTGGAGATGAACGAATCCCATTGGTTTATTGTTATCAGTCAGCTCCAAAATATTTGTTATTAATTTTTGGAGACTATAAACATCTGGTCAATTCCATTACTATTTGAAAACACATGATAACTTTATACTTTTAGGGAAGTTTTTAAACGATATTTGAAAAAATGCATCCGGAAAAAATCACTGACTGCATCTTTAAGAATTATTCTGTTTTTAATGTTGAATCAATCGTGTCTCTCCAAACCGTTCTCTGATGCAGTTTGTCATGTGACCTCCATCCCCAGGCAGAAGTGATGATTACAGGGTCAACTCCCTGTCCAGCGGAAATTAACCTTTGTCTGTAAATAGATTTGAATGACTGCCATGTTCTTAACTTCACAGCCAAGACCGAGCATAAAGCGGAAATGGAAGTTCCTTCCACCATAAAGGTGAAAGTCATGGACTTTTTCCAGAGGCTGGTATGTGGGATACTAATTTTCTTTCACTCACATTTCTGTTTCAACATATTGGTTGGTTTATTTAGAAGTATTCTATATTTGGCCACTGTTTCAACAAATGATAACATCTGTGTGTCTGAATAAAACCAACCGAGAATGATATTCCTGAAAGCTTTGGTGACCTCCGGAGCCTCCAGGACTCATTCTAACAAAGCCAAACTAACTCTAACAGCGGACGGTGCTACAGCGGGTAATGTGGGGTCATCTCTCTGTGTCTGGCCCTTTTATTGTGAACTGTCATGGGAATATCTGTTTTTCCCATCACAGTTGACTGAACCTGAAACTTAATTTTCTCGGACTCAATTGTCATGTAAAAATATTCATGGGTAAATAATAATATACTCCTTCCATCAGTTATTTATGTAGCAAATTATAGTAGCAATTATTGTTGGTGAAATTCTGGCTTATAGATAGACATACAGTTTGAAACATTTAATACAACCATAAATATATGAGGTGTACTCTGCACTTTGTATAAATAATCTATTGTTCATTGCTACTTGGCTTTGCTGAGTTTATTTATTTGAAGGACAGTGGAAGACACAAAGCAGCTATTCAAAATATAGCTACTTTTTTTAGCCAACTTGAGCTCAGGGCTGTGCCAAAAATATAAAGAGCAATCTGAACTTCTCTGACGTGCAATCTCGATTATCGACATGTGCTTTACAGGTGAGAGACTCCAATCGTGAGGCTGAGGAGTTCTTTCCCTAAACACACACAAACAAATGATCAATATTGTTTTCCCAGATCGCCCAGGCCGACTTGAATCATTATTAGTGTGTTTTAAATGGGCTCCTTAATTAGAAGAATAGGCCTTTAACCACCTAACCTTTACCTGACACAGGGCCCGCTGTCAGTGTTCTCAGCCAAACAGCAGTGGACAGCGCCAAGGACTGTCCACATCTGTCCTGAAGACCGAGACGTGGGCTTCACTCTGCGTGGAGACCCGCCAGTCCAGGTGGTCTCTCTGGATCCTCTCTGCAATGCTGCCGTGAGTCCATTCTTGGGTTGGAATTATATAGCCTCATTAAAGTCATTAAATATACATTACCCATGGTTTCAACACATGTAAGTTCTATGGCCTGCCTGTTCGTCTTAACTGTAAACACAGCACTGTATAGATGAGGTTTGTATGCTACCACAAATAACATGTTCACAGCCAGGTTACATTCATTTGTTATTGTCTGTATTTGTAGTGGTGACGGTGAATCGAGCACCAAAACAGATTCTAAAATATGATTTAGTATTACTCTCAGGGCCTCATAAATACTTTTTTGGGAACCTCAGTCCAAGGTTTGTATTAGGAAAGTAGGTGAAGCTGAAATGACTATAATTCAAACAAACCCTGCAGCATAAATATTTGTCCAGTCTGTGTCAGCAGACGGACTTGGCCATCTATGAACCTGGACTTTGGTTTTCTTTGTTCAGGAGGGCGAACATGGCCTAAAGGAAGGAGACTACATTGTTGCCGTTGGGGACACAGACTGCAAATGGATGGGTGTGGGCGACGTGATGCGCTTACTGAAGGATGTTGGTGAAGAAGGAGTTGATATCCAGGTGGTTAGTCTGATGGACATCAACTCCTCTATGGTAGAAAACCCTTACCTTAAAGATGTCTGAAAAAATGTATGTTATTAGAAAATGAATCACTGTTTTTGTTTGTTTTCAGCCTACAAAAAGTGCTACTTTCTGTGGCAACCTCCCAAAAACCTACTCCATGATCTGCCTAGCTTATGATGATGCTGACAAAAATCCCAAATCGCATAAAGTGACCAAGAAATCATCCTTCCTGAGTTGGGGAATCAAGAACAAGCTTAAAAGTACCAGCACCCTCAGTCTGCCCACAGCTGACCAGTCTGGTGCCCTCCCCTGGAACAAACCCTGCCCAAGTTTCCCTCGAACAAGTTCACACAATAACGACAGTCTCCACAACTGAGTCTTTTTGTTTGTTTTGTTTTACTTTTGTGCGCATTAACAAAGGACATTTTCCCAGATCTGTGGTGATACTCTGTCCGGCCTCCGTACTGGCCTGACTCATTCCCTCCGACTGTAAGGTAGCTCACTTAGTCACTCGATTAATGAAGATATTACTGCCAGCTCCCTTTGTTACTCCCACACAGTATGAAAGAATGTTCCAGGTTCAGGATCCTGCGTTTAGACCTAAGCAGAGCACATTATTACAGCAGTTACCTCTAAGAATCAGTATCATCTCAGTTTGTTTATTGACACATTCCACACATAAGATCACAAGTAATAATAATAGTTATAATAGTTACAATGTCATGTACTTTCTGCTTTTTATTTGTTTTTATTGTTCTGCATTCACTGGAACTGAAACCTATTCCTCTCTTCTTGGAGGAGGCAATACATTTCCACAAACTTCAGCAAATCTAAAACATGGTGATGGAACATTTAAACAATAATAATCATGACTATCAATGCAAAGGTTTAAAACGCTGCTTTACATCTAGTTACATTGTCCAGATGTGTATAAACCTTTATAAATGACCTGCAATGTGCCGTACCTGTCAGTGCCAGGACCTCTGGAAACAGTTCATCTCACCGTCTTCTGCTAGTGCTGCGTGGTACAAAGTCAAATATATAATAATGTTTGTGTAAATGTGACTATCAAGTCGTACTGTTGTCTATTCTAACACTCTGTAAATATTGCCTACATTACATTACATTGTCATTCACTGGCACTTTTTAGTGTTGGAGAAGTTCCTTGTCTACAAAGTAGATTATTATACATTTGATAATCAAATTATTTATGTAATAAAAATATTCAAGAAATGTGTTATGCTGGATATAGATTTGTAGATGAAATGATCAAGTTGTTATCCTTTGCACATTCTTGTTGTTTGAGTTTTTATAGAGAGAGTTTAGGGTAAAACTTTTATGCACAAATGCATTTTTAAAGTGTTTTATGTTTTACCTTCCATGACTTAAGTGCTTTTAATGCTAAATGAAGGAAACATTGTCGAAACCTATTATTATTGAATGATATTATTTTCTGTCGGCTGCTATACCACGATGTTACTTTCTTTGATGATTATATGTTCTGGGTGTTGTGCAGGTGACGTAATGGTCTATGCCTACAAATTCTACTTTTTTTTTACTCTTAAATGTAATGTACAATGTTGTAAAATGTAAATGTGGGTTTCAAATGACTAAATAAAGGGACCAAATATTCTTGTGTGTTATAATTCTAAAACAATATTGGAAACATTGTGTAATCACATCCTTAAAGCTGGGGTACCTAACTCTCAGCCCCATTATTAATGTTCTATGTTCTGTCCCAACAGAAAGTCCGTACAGGTAATATGCTGTGAACAAATCAGACGGCAAGATCTGCTGGCTTTATTATAAAATGGAATCTTTGCAAACTGTAGTCTCTTTTGTGTCTAAAAAAGCTGATCTTAAGATGTGACATGTATGTGACAGGCCATACATACATGTGGAAACTGTTTAGAGAGAGAGAAACTAGGTTGAATGATGTCTATGACTTGTGACTATTTGTCAAACAAAATGAAACCAAACTTCTGACCAAACAAACTCAAATAATCACTAGAAGGCACCATGGGTATGTGGTTTACGCAGTGAAATATAACAAACAAATGTTCTGTCAAAAATATAAGTTGCAGGCAAACAACAAAAATGCTGAATCTCCTTGAACTGGGAATCAACCACAGACCCATAAAGGCAGCGCATGGAGGCCCAACTTGTACTGCCCCCATTTATCCCCTAGGTGCCACTAAACTGAAATAAACTGAAGTAAACCCAATATAATCTATGCTACAAATATATCTAAATTACCAAAAAATTGAAATATAAACTCAGGCAAAAAATAATTAATTGTAGAAAAACATACAAAACAAAAAACCGCAAATAGATTGAATTAATTTAGCAGACAAAACAAATATCTCCTACAATGAGTTAACATCTTTGTTTTTTAAAAGTTAGTTACCCCAGCTTCAATCATTTGTAAGATAATTTCGGCAAAAACACCATTGGTATTCTGGTGTCATTCTACATTCTCTGACAAAGCGCATAAATCAAATATACATTAAAATTAGTCAAACGCAGGACATCACGGAGCTATACTGCCCTCTCGTGCTAAAACAAACCATGACTGAGCCTGCCAGGGAAACGTCGGTTGCTATGACAATGTAAAAGACCAGTCAGTGATTGGCTGCGTCTTCTCGAATCGGCCAATCAGCGTGCGTGTTGTAATGAGGTGTCTCCCAGGGCACAAGCGTCTCGATCATTGTTGATGTGACGGTCGGAGGTGGTCAACTCCCAATATTCTCCATTATTCTCCCATTGTAGCAGTTATTTTGATATTTGGAAACAGTTTTAAAAGTATATATATTTCTGTTAAACCCGGAAGAAAACAACGTCATGTTAAAACTTAGCTTCAGAAGGGAGAGAGAGAAGGAGTTTGTAAGTTATTACCATTTTGATAATCACAAGCCGCTGCACAGACACTGCTTTATTATTACTACTTTAGAAAATAACTTTGTTTGTATTAGAGTCTGTGGTTGTATTAGAGTCTGTGGTTGTATTAGAGTATGTGGTTGTATTAGAGTCTGTGGTTGTATTAGAGTCTGTGGTTGTATTAGAGTCTGTGGTTGTATTAGAGTCTGTGGTTGTAGTAGTGTCTGTGGTTGTATTAGAGTCTGTGGTTGTATTAGAGTCTGTGGTTGTATTAGAGTCTGTGGTTGTATTAGAGTCTGTGGTTGTATTAGAGTCTGTGGTTGTATTAGAGTCTGTGGTTGTATTAGAGTCTGTGGTTGTAGTAGTGTCTGTGGTTGTATTAGAGTCTGTGGTTGTATTAGAGTCTGTGGTTGTATTAGAGTCTGTGGTTGTATTAGAGTCTGTGGTTGTATTAGAGTCTGTGGTTGTATTAGAGTATGTGGTTGTATTAGAGTCTGTGGTTGTATTAGAGTCTGTGGTTGTATTAGAGTCTGTGGTTGTATTAGAGTCTGTGGTTGTATTAGAGTCTGTGGTTGTATTAGAGTCTGTGGTTGTATTAGAGTCTGTGGTTGTATTAGAGTCTGTGGTTGTATTAGAGTCTGTGGTTGTATTAGAGTCTGTGGTTGTATTAGAGTCTGTGGTTGTATTAGAGTCTGTGGTTGTATTAGAGTCTGTGGTTGTATTAGAGTCTGTGGTTGTATTAGAGTCTGTGGTTGTATTAGAGTCTGTGGTTGTATTAGAGTCTGTGGTTGTATTAGAGTCTGTGGTTGTATTAGTGTCTGTGGTTGTATTAGAGTCTGTGGTTGTATTAGAGTCTGTGGTTGTATTAGAGTCTGTGGTTGTATTAGAGTCTGTGGTTGTATTAGAGTCTGTGGTTGTAGTAGTGTCTGTGGTTGTATTAGTGTCTGTGGTTGTATTAGAGTCTGTGGTTGTATTAGAGTCTGTGGTTGTATTAGAGTCTGTGGTTGTATTAGAGTCTGTGGTTGTATTAGAGTCTGTGGTTGTATTAGAGTCTGTGGTTGTATTAGAGTCTGTGGTTGTATTAGAGTCTGTGGTTGTATTAGAGTCTGTGGTTGTATTAGAGTCTGTGGTTGTATTAGAGTCTGTGGTTGTATTAGAGTCTGTGGTTGTATTAGAGTCTGTGGTTGTATTAGAGTCTGTGGTTGTATTAGAGTCTGTGGTTGTATTAGAGTCTGTGGTTGTATTAGAGTCTGTGGTTGTAGTAGTGTCTGTGGTTGTATTAGAGTCTGTGGTTGTATTAGAGTCTGTGGTTGTATTAGAGTCTGTGGTTGTATTAGAGTCTGTGGTTGTATTAGAGTCTGTGGTTGTATTAGAGTCTGTGGTTGTATTAGAGTCTGTGGTTGTATTAGAGTCTGTGATTGTATTAGAGTCTGTGGTTGTATTAGAGTCTGTGGTTGTATTAGAGTCTGTGGTTGTATTAGAGTCTGTGGTTGTATTAGAGTATGTGGTTGTATTAGAGTCTGTGGTTGTATTAGAGTCTGTGGTTGTATTAGAGTATGTGGTTGTAGCAGAGTCTGTGGTTGTATTAGAGTCTGTGGTTGTATTAGAGTATGTGGTTGTATTAGAGTCTGTGGTTGTATTAGAGTCTGTGGTTGTATTAGAGTCTGTGGTTGTATTAGAGTCTGTGGTTGTATTAGAGTCTGTGGTTGTATTAGAGTCTGTGGTTGTATTAGAGTCTGTGGTTGTATTAGAGTCTGTGGTTGTATTAGAGTCTGTGGTTGTATTAGAGTCTGTGGTTGTATTAGAGTCTGTGGTTGTATTAGAGTCTGTGGTTGTATTAGAGTCTGTGGTTGTATTAGAGTCTGTGGTTGTATTAGAGTCTGTGGTTGTATTAGAGTCTGTGGTTGTATTAGAGTCTGTGGTTGTATTAGAGTCTGTGGTTGTATTAGAGTCTGTGGTTGTATTAGAGTCTGTGGTTGTATTAGAGTCTGTGGTTGTATTAGAGTCTGTGGTTGTAGCAGAGTCTGTGGTTGTGATTAGAGTCTGTGGTTGTATTAGAGTCTGTGGTTGTATTAGAGTCTGTGGTTGTATTAGAGTCTGTGGTTGTATTAGAGTCTGTGGTTGTATTAGAGTCTGTGGTTGTAGTAGTGTCTGTGGTTGTATTAGAGTCTGTGGTTGTATTAGAGTCTGTGGTTGTATTAGAGTCTGTGGTTGTATTAGAGTCTGTGGTTGTATTAGAGTCTGTGGTTGTATTAGAGTCTGTGGTTGTATTAGAGTCTGTGGTTGTATTAGAGTCTGTGATTGTATTAGAGTCTGTGGTTGTATTAGAGTCTGTGGTTGTATTAGAGTCTGTGGGTTGTAGCAGAGTCTGTGGTTGTATTAGAGTCTGTGGTTGTATTAGAGTCTGTGGTTGTATTAGAGTCTGTGGTTGTATTAGAGTATGTGGTTGTATTAGAGTCTGTGGTTGTATTAGAGTCTGTGGTTGTATTAGAGTCTGTGGTTGTATTAGAGTCTGTGGTTGTATTAGAGTCTGTGGTTGTATTAGAGTCTGTGGTTGTATTAGAGTCTGTGGTTGTATTAGAGTCTGTGGTTGTATTAGAGTCTGTGGTTGTATTAGAGTCTGTGGTTGTATTAGAGTCTGTGGTTGTATTAGAGTCTGTGGTTGTATTAGAGTCTGTGGTTGTATTAGAGTCTGTGGTTGTAGTAGTGTCTGTGGTTGTATTAGAGTCTGTGGTTGTATTAGAGTCTGTGGTTGTATTAGAGTCTGTGGTTGTAGTAGTGTCTGTGGTTGTAGTAGTATCTGTGGTTGTAGTAGTGTCTGTGGTTGTAGTAGTGTCTGTGGTTGTAGTAGTGTCTGTGGTTGTAGTAGTGTCTGTGGTTGTAGTAGTGTCTGTGGTTGTAGTAGTGTCTGTGGTTGTATTAGAGTCTGTGGTTGTATTAGAGTCTGTGGTTGTATTAGAGTCTGTGGTTGTATTAGAGTCTGTGGTTGTATTAGAGTCTGTGGTTGTATTAGAGTCTGTGGTTGTATTAGAGTCTGTGGTTGTATTAGAGTCTGTGGTTGTATTAGAGTCTGTGGTTGTATTAGAGTCTGTGGTTGTATTAGAGTCTGTGGTTGTATTAGAGTCTGTGGTTGTATTAGAGTCTGTGGTTGTATTAGAGTCTGTGGTTGTATTAGAGTCTGTGGTTGTATTAGAGTCTGTGGTTGTATTAGAGTCTGTGGTTGTATTAGAGTCTGTGGTTGTAGCAGAGTCTGTGGTTGTATTAGAGTCTGTGGTTGTAGCAGAGTCTGTGGTTGTATTAGAGTCTGTGGTTGTATTAGAGTCTGTGGTTGTATTAGAGTCTGTGGTTGTATTAGAGTCTGGTTGTAGTAGTGTCTGTGGTTGTATTAGAGTCTGTGGTTGTATTAGAGTCTGTGGTTGTAGCAGAGTCTGTGGTTGTATTAGAGTCTGTGGTTGTATTAGAGTATGTGGTTGTATTAGAGTCTGTGGTTGTATTAGAGTCTGTGGTTGTATTAGAGTATGTGGTTGTATTAGAGTCTGTGGTTGTATTAGAGTCTGTGGTTGTATTAGAGTCTGTGGTTGTATTAGAGTCTGTGGTTGTATTAGAGTCTGTGGTTGTATTAGAGTATGTGGTTGTATTAGAGTCTGTGGTTGTATTAGAGTCTGTGGTTGTATTAGAGTATGTGGTTGTAGCAGAGTCTGTGGTTGTATTAGAGTCTGTGGTTGTATTAGAGTATGTGGTTGTATTAGAGTCTGTGGTTGTATTAGAGTCTGTGGTTGTATTAGAGTCTGTGGTTGTATTAGAGTCTGTGGTTGTATTAGAGTATGTGGTTGTATTAGAGTCTGTGGTTGTATTAGAGTCTGTGGTTGTATTAGAGTCTGTGGTTGTATTAGAGTCTGTGGTTGTATTAGAGTATGTGGTTGTATTAGAGTCTGTGGTTGTATTAGAGTCTGTGGTTGTAGTAGTGTCTGTGGTTGTATTAGAGTCTGTGGTTGTATTAGAGTCTGTGATTGTATTAGAGTCTGTGGTTGTATTAGAGTCTGTGGTTGTATTAGAGTCTGTGGTTGTATTAGAGTCTGTGGTTGTATTAGAGTATGTGGTTGTATTAGAGTCTGTGGTTGTATTAGAGTCTGTGGTTGTATTAGAGTATGTGGTTGTATTAGAGTCTGTGGTTGTATTAGAGTCTGTGGTTGTATTAGAGTCTGTGGTTGTATTAGAGTCTGTGGTTGTATTAGAGTCTGTGGTTGTATTAGAGTCTGTGGTTGTATTAGAGTCTGTGGTTGTAGCAGAGTCTGTGGTTGTATTAGAGTCTGTGGTTGTATTAGAGTCTGTGGTTGTATTAGAGTCTGTGGTTGTATTAGAGTCTGTGGTTGTATTAGAGTCTGTGGTTGTATTAGAGTCTGTGGTTGTATTAGAGTCTGTGGTTGTATTAGAGTCTGTGGTTGTATTAGAGTCTGTGGTTGTATTAGAGTCTGTGGTTGTATTAGAGTCTGTGGTTGTATTAGAGTCTGTGGTTGTAGCAGAGTCTGTGGTTGTATTAGAGTCTGTGGTTGTATTAGAGTCTGTGGTTGTATTAGAGTCTGTGGTTGTATTAGAGTCTGTGGTTGTATTAGAGTCTGTGGTTGTATTAGAGTCTGTGGTTGTATTAGAGTCTGTGGTTGTATTAGAGTCTGTGATTGTATTAGAGTCTGTGGTTGTATTAGAGTCTGTGATTGTATTAGAGTCTGTGGTTGTATTAGAGTCTGTGGTTGTATTAGAGTCTGTGGTTGTATTAGAGTCTGTGGTTGTATTAGAGTCTGTGGTTGTATTAGAGTCTGTGGTTGTAGTAGTGTCTGTGGTTGTAGTAGTGTCTGTGGTTGTATTAGAGTCTGTGGTTGTATTAGAGTCTGTGGTTGTATTAGAGTCTGTGGTTGTAGTAGTGTCTGTGGTTGTAGTAGTGTCTGTGGTTGTAGTAGTGTCTGTGGTTGTATTAGAGTCTGTGGTTGTAGTAGTGTCTGTGGTTGTATTAGAGTCTGTGGTTGTATTAGAGTCTGTGGTTGTATTAGAGTCTGTGGTTGTATTAGAGTCTGTGGTTGTAGTAGTGTCTGTGGTTGTAGTTTAAGTAAGTAATGTTTATTTATATAGCGCATGTTACAGACCAAGGTACAGACCCAAAGCACTTTACAATGTTCAAAGTTCAGATATTGTTCCAATCATTAAAGCAGAAGATCGTTTATTGTTGACAGGGATATTTAATCATAATAATAATGCATTGGTTTTATACAGCGCTTTTTGGACACTCAAAGACGCTTCACATCAATATTCTTTCACTCAAAACCATAGACTGTATATATTAACGGACAGAGTCACGCCTATCTCTGCCGTTCAAACAAATGGGCCAAAAAATGTGCTCTACTGGAGTTATCCAAAATGGCTGCGAGTGGCCCACAAGAAAATTGTGAAAAAACGCATCTGCGCATGCGTCAGCCGGCGCAAGCTCCATTCATTTGAACGAGAGACTTCAAAAGTCCACAGTGACTAAACTAGACTGGTCCAGAACACTCAGCATTGACACACATGTGGAACGGAGCTTTGGGCCAAGAGACAACTTTTGGTCCATCCTGTAAAGACGTTTTCCAGAGGTCTGCTAATGCTATATGTTAGCATTGGCTAATGGGGTGGTATTGCACCATGTCAGCACCTAAGGACACAACAGCAGTTTGGCACTTTTACAGCCGCAGCCGCGGCACCGTGGCCTTGTGTTCCCAAAGGTTAAGTGTGTTACGCCTTTCCTGTAATAAGCCCCAAGACTGAGGTCGAGGGGCGCAGGCGAGATCTGCTGCTCCAGGGCTGAAGGGGTGCGTTCCTCCGGGGCGTAATTCCCTTCTGTTAAAGTGTGGTGCGGATATAGGGACACGGACTGTTGCTCAAGAGTTGGCTTTATTATCTCTCCCAAAAACAACATGCCAAAAACTACGCTCCCTGTCTTGCTCCGGTCGCACTCTCGCTCTTTCCTAGTGGGAGTCGATGGTGAAAGTCGAGCTTGAACCTACGACCCTCTGGCTCATAGGCCAATGCACTACCAACTGAGCTAGTCTTGCGTCCTTGTTTGCTTCATCAACTTCAACGTGACTGATGTAGTGTTAGCTAAACCCATTCTAGCTACAACCACAGACTCTACTACAACAGAACTTCTGTCACACACTCCTGTCTGCTCTGAATAATGTCCTGTTCCATGTCACTTGTGTGTGTAGACTGTTGTGTGTGTAGATGTATATGAGTGTTTTCACAGTTAAGTGTCAATTGAAGTATCTCAACTTTAAAAGGTTATAACTTAAAAACTAAAATTACTATCATAGATTGGAAAAAAAGATTTCAAACACAGACACATCAAAGAGATAGTGTGGATAAAATCAAAAGGAAAGATTGTCAAATATATTTTTGGTGACATTTTAAACGACAAAACAGCCTCTTTTTTGACCATTCTACTGTGACGCCAGTTACATAGAAAATAAAATGTCCTCAGTCTGAAAAAGCAGAAGATGAAATCCCACAATATTTACATGGTTAACACAACAGGAGGAAATCACTTGATATGAAAAGGAATCATTAAAAAATAAAAAATAATTAATTAATTAAATGACCCCTGAAAAATGTATAACGGACGTGATGGTTTCCGTCCTCTTTTCTCTAAAAATTAAACTTGAGAAAGAAAAAACTAAATGAAAGTATCACTTTGTTTCTACTTTGTGTAAAAAAATAGAATCTCTGAATCAAATGTGGACATCTGAAAATACCATCAAACTTCCACAGCTCATTCCGTCAAATCATCGTCCGTTACATAAAATAAACAGGGCGCTGTAGGAAACTTGTCTAATGTATAAAACAGTTATGTTCTAGCAACTTCTAATGGACAGAGGAGGTGCTTGGAAACATGAAAAACATAAAATATCTTCTGATTATTAAAATCTAATTTTTGGCCTTTTGTCACACTTTTGTGCCCTTTAGTGTGAACAAGCCCATATATGTATATGTGTGTTGTGTGTTGTGTGCAGAGACATATTAGCCATGGCCTAATCCCAGCCGCCTCTTTAGCCCCCAAACCTGCTGTGCCTCGCACCCCTCCCCCCCGCAGCCCAGACCCCTCACCTGAGAGACCCAGGTACCACCTGTTGCATGCTCTGTGGGCATTTTATTCTCCACCGTTTTATGTAATAGTAGTAATATTGAATGTTTCTCTTAAAATAATATATTTATATGATATATTTATTTACAGATCTGCATTGGCAGCAGCGATTCTGTCGTCCTCACTCACTGGACAAACCTGGGCACTCCCGCCCACATATCCACGGGCTTTCACAGAGAGTGATCCATCAGAATCTGTGAATTATGAACCAACCCCGTTTCAGAGGTAGACCAAATTAAATCAGATGTATTACATATTATTGCACAAAGTGTGCTATATCTGTAAGAGATTCTCTTACACTTGATCAGACATGACCTGGACTTGTGCTAGAGTAGTGTACTACGGGTGGACTATCCCCTATAAATAAACATGACTAATGACAAACTACAGTAACTGTATATTCACTTTTCTCTTGTTTTTTAAATCACCAAACTGCACAAACATAATCTTGTGCCCAGCTGCAGAGGAGACTGATCGTCTCCTGCTCCTCAGCCGCCCTCGCTAAAGCACTGACATATGATCAATATGCAACGTTAAGTTAAATACTATGATAAGCTGTATTTTCCTCTTCAGAGAAACATGGGCAGAAGATGTCCAGAGTGCAGAGCCCTCAGAAGGGGAGCTGGATGGACGAGCCGCGTTAAAGGAGATCCATGATGAGGAACATGTGTATCAAACAATCAACACTGCAGGAGAAAGTGAAACTAATGAACCAGTTTATGCACTTCCTGTCAAACCAAAGGTGAGATACTTCGGACATTACAGTTCATTAATGTAGGTTTTAAATATAAAATGTCCATCCACTGGGAGGCGCAGTTTCGTAATGCATTGTAAAACGATACAATATTTGATTAGTTCCACATTAGCATTTAAAGCTAGTGTAACTAACTTTTAAAGCACAAAACATTAGACTATTTCATCAAAGGTAACGAGGATCTTGCTTTCAAAACAGCTCGGTTCGATCTCTAGTTTTCCCAAATAAAGTACATACCATGCACGTGTTTTTAGCCTCTGTCACATCTTTTGATCTGTTTTATTCTAACAAAAGAGTAGAACGAGTAGAGTCAAAACCAAACACATTTGACTTAAAATGAAGTCAAAAGGGTTTGTTAGAAGTTTAGGAAAGTTCATCTTGTCTTCTTAGTAGAAGTAAAAGAATGGTAACAACCAAATACTTTTAGGATTTGATCATACTATATAATATAATATGCAATGATACTGTTTAATTACATGACATTTGACTGTTATATAATAGTAATATCTAATTTAACTCACACTGCACCCAGAGCTTCTCTCACCTGGGATTTCAGTCTCTTAATATTCTTCACAGGTGCTTTAAACATTGAGCTAATAGTCCCGTTCTGTTTCCTGCTGTCAGCAGCCTTTCCACACATTCAGAGTTGGTGTTTCTCTGCTGCTTGAGGCATTCGTCCGAGTTGCCTTGCTATAAAAACTTTTCACACTTCTGTTTTCTTCTAGCATACTATCTTAGTTCTACTTCTAAGGATGGAATAATCAATGTATCAGTATTAAAGAATTTATCCTGATTGGGCATTTATTAGGACTGTGCCAAAATGTTGATATTGTGATATACAGCAACATTTTTATTATTTATTTATTTAATATGGACATAACAATGACATTGGACAAACCAGATGCATTGCTGAACGTGGTGAAGCACAGGGGCTATTTTTCAACACTAGTCCACAGGGGTTTTTACATTAATAATCACACATTTATAAGAAAAAATATATATATATAATTTACACGTGAGAACAAGTCTGTCTTGATCTTCAGCTCTGTTGGAGCTCTCTGCTGAAGATGGTCATGTCAGGCTGTAGTTTCAGTCCGGTGAGGAGAGAGCTCCACCGTTTAACCCTAAAGGAGAAGCTGATTGTCCAAAAGATGTCTCTCAGTCAATTATTGATATAATTCCAAGCATCTTCGAACTTAGTGTGAGAGAACGTAGCATGTTATACCTCATTTTAAAGTGTATTGTTTAATTTATTTGAGTATAGATTAAACCCCAAAAGGCCAAAAATTGTAATACTTAAAATGAATCTGAAAATCAGTCAACAATACCCAGCCTTCTCCAGTTCTGTGTCAATCCAAGCAGAACTGGGCGGCACGGTGGCTGAGTGGATAGCACTCTCGCCTCTCAGCAAGAAGGTCCTGGGTTCGAAGACCAGGGCCTTTCTGAGTGGAGTTTGCATGTTCTCCCCGTGTCTGCGTAGGTTTCCTCCGGGTACTCCGATTTCCCCTACCACTAAAAATATGTACAATAGTTCTGGCATGTGCCTCCTGTTCGGCGACCCCGCTCCCATCTCTGTGTGGAGTGAGAGACAAATGCCCAAAAAAATAATAACAATTGTAAACCGCTTTGTGACCCGTGTCTGTGAAAGGCGGTATATAAATAAACATTACTTACAGAACTCGTTGTACGCATTTTGTTCAGAAAAACACTACCAACTTATAATATACTACTAATAATTTCCAAACCCATGTTTCATTAAAAGTAAGTATTAATCAACAAAAATAACCAAGCACAGTATATCACAGTTTACATACAAGGAAACTCAATGTACAAGCCATTCAAATCTTATTGTCTCATGAGCCATGTATCGTTTATCGCACCGTGAGGGACCCAGAGATTCCCAGAGATTCCCAGAGATTCCCAGAGATTCCCAGAGATTCCCAGAGATTCCCAGAGATTCCCAGAGATTCCCAGAGACTCCCAACCTGAGCCTTCCTTATTTATTAAAGTCTGGCAGTAAATACAGTGACTTTTGACCTTTTTAAAATATAAGATGGCTGTGGTAGGAGGCAAAATAGTGCTCTTTTTTTTATATCACTTCACATCTGGATCATATTTATAACCTATTATCTAGTGACAAAACAGCTCCTTATGAACACTTTCGAAAAATGATAAAGACAACAACATTTTCACTCATCATTTACAATTTCAACCTTGCCAGAGCCCTTGAACAAAACACTTCACCTTCGTTGGGTGATAACTCTGCGTCAACACAAGAAATATCTATAAAACACACTTTTTTGAGTTGCTTGAATTTGAATTTGAAAATGCATTTCACAAATCCCCTCACCATCTGCTTGTGTTTTTACCTCCAGGCGACTTCACAGCAACTGACTGGAACATCTGGCCACGATCCTGATTTCGGTATACACTTTTTATTGTATCTACCCACTGTTTTGGAAATGAAGCCAAACTATCAAGACTAGATTATGTATTTGAGAGAAGACAAAGCCGTTCTTGGCATGACTCGTCCATTTTCTGCCTTTTTATCCATTTCTGGGTGGAGGGGGTGGCAACAGAGGCTTGATCTTTCAGCGGGGGGTTCAGGTAAAGTGGGGTTAAGTGTCTTGCTCAAGGACACAATGAGAGCGGACATCAGTGGGAGTGGGTGGAGAAGGTCTCACGGTGGGCTTGAACTTCAAACTCAAAGCCCATTTTTCTCTTCTTCGAGAAATACCTCACAATATGTTATTTATTCACTAGAAAAAGGAGATACAGTATGTGCCAAAAATGAGACTAAATTGCCTCGTAAATATGTGACTTCTACAAACATTTATTATTATACACATGTCTCCAAGTTTTCATTGGTTCTGTTTTACAATTCACAATGCCTCCATAAAATAATGTTACACAATCGTCATGAGATCATTAACAAGACAGTTGCTTTCTGGAGAATGTTTTTCCATTGACCTGAGCAGGAAAACTGTCAAAATGTTTTGGTTTTTTTTACGGTTTAGCTTACAGTACTTACTTAGTAAGTACTGTAAGCTAAAACACAGTCCTTAACAAAGTCAAAGGGGCACGACATACAACCATGACATTTCTAATCAAGTTTTCAGTGTCCACAGAATATTACACTCATGATGTATATTTGTATACCAGACCGTTTCAATGACGCTCATGAGCAGGCTCCTAAACGCAGTCAAGAGTCCTTCAGGAAGGAGCTGGACAGAAAGAGCACTCGAAAGAAGAACAAAGCAAGATGTAAGTGGAAATTTGAAAAAACATAAGGGTGAAAGTAGTAGTATAATACTCTTAGACCTAGCCAAGTGATTTAATGTACTTTTAACGTTTTGAATTGTTTTGTAATGTTTAAATTACATTTCAGCAACTTTTATGTACCTGTGACTGTGTGAATGAGAGCAGCCGGGAACACTGTCTTTTCCTTTGGGATGAATACATTTTAGCCTATCCTATCCTTTAATGATTACACATTATGTCTATACAGAATCTCTTCAAATTGTTGTCTATACTTTTACATAGTATGGTTGAAATGTATGATCGTAGGTATGGAAGATTATTCTTAATCTGCTCTTTTCTTCTAGCTATGGAAGAAATCCAAGCAAAAACCATCGTGTCTCGGCTCAGTGGTGAAAATGTTCCCGCCGGACCTTCCACACCCATTTCCACAAGTTTCTCTCAGATCAAGGCAGAATCAAGTGAAGACAATAAGGTTAAAATGGACCCGGCTCCCAGTCAAAGGCAACGTGCATCTGCTCCTGAAATGATTCAACGTCAAAGCTCCTTCAACTCCCGGGACAAAAAGCAGGATTCCATTAGTAAGAGAAAATATATGCAGTACATATCCACTTGCAATAATAGTGCTCTAATGCTTTGTTTTCCTACTGGAGGTCAAGCTGAGGTGCAGAGTTTAAGACGACAGGCTCAGGAGCTGGTGGATGAGAACGATGCCCTCAAGATGACGGTCCACCGCCTCAACGTAGAGCTGAGCCGTTACCAAGTGCGCTTCAGGCCACTTTCCAAAGAGGAGGTACAGGATGCAATACGTACAGTTGTTCAACGGGATCATCATTTGAATGGTCTACGCTTTACAACTAAACATGTGTTGAAAGTTGCAGAATTGGTTTGCAAAATGGAGAGAAAAGATAGAATTTTAACGTGTTCTTACTATGTTTTTTTTATTGGATAAGGCTCACTCCACACTAAACTGTATTTAAGTGTAACATATGGCTCAATGACACGGAAAAGTCCTGAAATGTTCGCGGCCGGTACTGTCGTATGTTCTCAGTCTTGTTTTGTTCCTTGTTTGTCCAGTGGAGGGCGCACTACTTAAACACGGATTAGTTTTGGACGTAAAAACCAGGATGCGATGTCAGGATGCGATGTGTTACGCCCAAAACGCCCAATTTGACTGCAGTTATTGAATACTATTTTTTTGCATAATGACTAATGTATAATTAGAGATTAAGATTAAGTTATATTGAGATTGAGAATAAGTTATATCCTCAACCATTAGCCGTTACATAGTCTTCTGTCCTGTTAATTCTTCCATTCACAAAGCCTCCATGACATGTCCGACAGCTTATGGAGCAATTGTGTCCCCAATGTTCACTACCATTTTTTGAAAGGCATCCATTTTTCTTGAAATGGTTTTAAACTCATCAGAGATTATCTTGTGTATGTCTATAAACTACTAAGTATTAAAGAATTATGAGGTACAAACATTTTTACATTTATTTTATTTCCGCTTGAAGTAAGACTGACGCATTGTACCTGTTATAGAAATCTTTTAGTAAAACAATCTGAATAATCACAAAATAGCTTTAAGTGCAAGTAATTCTCAACTCTGGATTCAGATACAGGCCATAATGCTCTGTTGGCAGCAGGTCAGTGATAGATAGAGACGTGCTGCAACATGTCTTTGACCTCATCTGGGTCATAGGACAAAATGTTCAGGTCAAAGCAGATTTTTACATATATCAGAGTTGTATCAGAGGAAGGAAGCTTACAGAGGAGCCTTGAGCAACACATTTCAATACTGACTTCATTTGTGTAATATCTAGAGTAGATATGTCTTTGTTTACTCTGGTCTATTTAATGTCCGTCATTTCCTCATTCGGGGCAAATGGTTTCAGACAGTTTCAGACGGCTGCAGGGGGTATCGGTATCAGTTCTGTAATTCATTGTATATGTCACATTTACTAATGAATAAACTCACACTTTGATTGTTTTATAGCTCTTGGTTGTTTACATTATTTTTGCTCTCGGTCTGTGCAGCATTTACAACATACCGTTTAGGGTGGAGTGAGCCATAAGCAAATCCTTGAATATATTCTTAAACAACAATAATAATTGTACAAACTTTTGTCATGTAAAATGATGTTTACCATGTATCATTTGTTTGTACAAGGTAAACAAAGGTAAAGGTGCACTTTATTATTCCCCGTAGGGCAATTCATCCTCTGCATTTGACCCATCCTGATGCTGCTAAGGCTTACGTCAGGAGCAGTTGTCGCCGTAGTAACAGCGCTCGGGAACCCATCTCCAGATGTTAATGCTTGGTCAGGACCAGAGCTGGAGGATTTAACCTGGTGTTCATGTATTTAGTGGTAGGGGAAACTGGAGTACCCGGAGGAAACCTACGCAGGCACGGAGAGAACATGCAAACTCCACTCAGAAAGACCCCGTTCCTAATGGGATTCCAACCCAGGATCTTCTTGCTGAGAGGCGAGAGTGCTAACCACTCAGCCATCGTGCCTGGTGGCAGCGCAGAATGGGTCAAATGAAGAGGACACATTTCTACGGGGATAATAACGTGTGTCTCAATCTTAAAAATGGGTCAAGGACGAGGCTAACCCAGTAGAGCAGGTGTGTCAAGCTTGTTACAGAAAGAGCCTGCAGGTTTTCATTCCAACAACTGCTTTGCTGTTGTCAGACTCCACTCATTTCACCAAGTCCTAAGTGACTTTCTGTAACAACTTTGACACCGCTGAACCAGAGTGAGTCTCTAAGCATCCTTGAGTTTCATTGATTTATTTGCCTTTATTTAACCAGGAAGTACCGTTGAGATTCAGAGTGTTTTTTATGTGTTGTACCTACATACCACCTCATGTGTGGGGTTCAGCAAGCGAAGAATTATATTGAAAAACACAACAGACAATATGTGTGACAATGGAGGTTTCTGAGTACAAATAGTAACATTTATAAATTGTCATGGGTTTTTATTGTTTTTTTCTGATTTCTCTGCCAAAACTAACACATTAAACCCCCTGGACATGCTTGAGACCACCCGACTCAACAGTGATGCCCTTTGGGAAAGACGACTTATGACATATTTTGGAGTAGGAAAACAATTCCTAGGAAATGTGGGAAAATAAGATTTTGAACAGTTATAAAGCTACCTAAAGTATACAAGACTCTTATTATTGTAAAGCCCCAAATCACAACAGTCATTGGTCATCTCAGAGGGCTTAACAAAACTGTTGAAATCAAACAGTTAAAACACAAAAAATACAGAACACATGGTATTAGTCCATTGAGAGTTGACCAATGTCTGTGAATGTTGATAAATGTTCAAAAATGAGTGTCCTGGATCATCACCACAGTCCTTCTTGTTAGACACATATAGTCTAACAGACTCCTGCATCGGCAAGGAAAAACTCTAAAACCCAGTGAGAAACCTTGGGGAGATCTACATTGAGAGAGATGAGCCTAAAACAAGTTTGCTTTGTGACCCTGGTATTCTGTGCTGAAGCAATTCCACTTTTGACCAGCAGGGGAGTACGCAATCCTTTTAATATGCATTTTTGGGTTATACATTCTTGTATCCATGTGCTCAACACATTTGTCGGAGCTTTAGCGCCATCTGTGGATTCTATGGGGAGCAAAAAATGGCACACTGCATAGAAAAGGGGCGGTGGGGGCAAATAGTGGCTCCTCACTGATTGGACGAGGAAGAGGTGGGCATGTGGGAGTCGCTCACACGGGCTGGCATGGGCTTTTATTGCTGCTTGCGGCTTAAATCCCAATTTCAATCTCCACTTTATTGTCCACATGTTCTGTTAATCATGTTCCCTTAAATCTGGAGAACACATCCTTGTTTAATTCTCTGATTCATGAACTTACAAATTACATACATGTTGAATCGTTGGTGTGTGAACAAAAATACTGTTTTAGATGTGACCTTTTTATTGAGTAAAGAAGCATTGCTACTGTCTTGGTTTAATAATAGGCATGTTTATTTAACATGTTTTACACCATAAAAGAAAGGAATGGCTTTAATCTTGGCTACCCCATACTGTGTCTATATCTGCTGCTCTCATTAGTTACTGTGTCTAATGTACTCTGTAGTAACTGCTCCAACGCCATCTATAAAAAGAACTGCGGGTCTCTCATAAAAAAGCAAATGTTATACTAATTTTATACAGTATGTCACCAATATATTTCTTTGACGTCATGGCTTATGATTCTGTGTATGTTTATGTCCTAGATTTCCAAAACTGAAGGACTTCCAGTGACAGACTCGGCCCCTCCCTGGCTTGTGAGTAAAATGCCTTGCTCACAATGTCATTCTTTTGTATTGGGGCAGAACACTTGTATTCAGACTTGTGTTATAGATGGGTAATTGCAGCTTCATTTTGCCTAAATGCCATGGGAAATAAAGGGTTTTATCGAGCAGAGAGTCATCTGTTTTATATGGAGCTCCCGTGTATTCTGCTTTTGGGTTTTGTGAAATTAGTGCTGTGTTTGGCGAACAAAAAACCGTCTGTGAACGATGGGGGTTACGCTCAAAGGTCTTGTTTTGTTTTTCAGCACAATAGTAGTGATTTGTCAACATGCTTCATTAGAGCAAACCAGATTAAGTGCATATTTTCAACTATAACCTTTTGTTATAGCTCGACATGAAGTATTTATCGCCTCTATTACTCGCTTATGAGGACAGAATGAAGGAGAAGGACGCGTTACTGAAAACCACAGAGGTAGGTTTTAAATGGCGGCTTATCCCCTCATTAAACAATACAGTGCTTTTTCCAACCTCATTCTTAAAACGCAAAAATGCCAGATGAATATGTAATATGTTTGTTGCATGGGCTCGGTTCATTGTTGAAGTATGACAAACAGACTTTTCCTGTGGATGTGGTTCATTACTTGAGATTGTGTTAATTTCTCAGGAGGAAATGAAGAGATTACGTGTCCATGTTGAACAGGTGATCAAAGAAAATGACAAACTGCATGAGGACATTTCCAAGACGGGAGGAGTCACGCACATAGATTGGTGAGCACGTTTTGGGTTTAATGCCTTTCTTTTATTTGAAGCAGAGACATAATTGTGTATTTATTCTGTTTATCTGCCCTGACTTTCCATGACATACAGTACATTTCCCAGAGAATTGACGCATTTGCATTTTGCTTGAATCCACTTCCCCAAAATGACTAAAAAGCCAATATTGAAATGTCTTTAGACGGTTTTCCCACATTTTGATTCACTCAGGGAACGTCTCCAAGAACAAGCGGTCCTGGTTTTGCAAGAAAACCAACTACTGATTGAGCAGCTCGATGGAGAGAGTGTGAAGGCTAAGAGAACTCAAAGCAAACATCATTCAGAAGGTATAATGTTTATATTTCTCTGCATTTCTGTTTTTTGTGTGAAGTTAACCTTGTCCCACTTAAAGGTGTATTGGAGAAATTTGACTTATTTGACGAGCACGTATCACCAGCACAATTGAATCCTCCTATACTTTTTCTGTTTTATATATTTATTGATAGGCATACAAGAATATACATTTACTTACAAATATCAAAATGGAACATAATTGCATATATCTTTTTTTCCCACACATTTTTTATAGAAAACACAGTAAAAATACACTATACCTTTTCAATCCAATTACCATCATGTAATACCAGGCGTATGTGTGTGTTTACCTGTGGAGTCAGTCAGATTCGTTTGTCTTTTGTCTCTGTAGAATCCCTGAAACAGAACGAGATGCACACACAACACAATGCACACAATACACACAGTGAGTTTTGCTTTTCTGCTCTTTCCTAACTGCAGTATCCAAGCTAGCCAAGCAGTTGATGCTCTGTGAGGCAGAAAAACACCATTTGGAGGAGGAGTTGGAAGCAAGCAAAAGAGAAGCTCAGAAAAATAAGAGGAATGCTCAAACTCTGCAGGACCGTCTGAAAGATGCAGTCACATGGGAGGAACACTGCAACATTGCCGGAAAACTTAAATGGTTTGTGGCTTTTCGTGGTTGTTAAGGTCAAGTCTTTGTAGTGAATCTTTTTTTAATTGAGAAAGACACTAAGGGCACTGTGCACTGCGTTTGATTCACTTTGTACCAGTCATTATGAGCCCAGCAGCTTTGCAAAGAGCTGTTTAAAAATGAAATACTCTGTCCTCACTATGGGCCAGTGATGGGTTTCCAATGTTATGCATAACAGTAGTATGTATTCTTGTTTTATTTATTTATTTATTTATTGAAACATAAGTAACATTTGATTAGTTAATTTGCAAAAACAGATAAGTGCCATTAGAAAAAATATTGGAAAGACTTACAATTTGCCCTTTACCAAGTGGTATTTAAAGCTAGGTGTATTTGAGCGCCATATACAAATTATTTTTCACCCCTTGTTGAGCAAATCCTTTCAAAGTTACTGCCAATGAGAAAACATGTGGAAAATGGGAATATTATGGAAATATCCCCATTTTGAAAATGTGGAATATTGTAGCTAAAGAAAAACAACCTTTTGACACATTTTCAAAACTGATAGCTCTGGTTTGAAAATGACCTCTTTATTTGTTAACCGTGTATATCAATCTGAAAACAAATCATTACCGTGCAGAGTAAACAGCTTGTGTTGTGCCTCATAGCTCTCTTCTTCATTTGTAGCCAGCTGGAACAGATGGATTTCAAGAATAAGAGAAACGAAGAGGAACTCTTCCTTAAAAAGGTTCGTCTGGAAGAGGAGAATGCCAGCCTGAATTTGGAAAAGGAAAACCTGAATGCTTCAATAATAAAACTCAAGATGGAGCTGGAGACATGGAAACAAGCTCATGGGTAGAGTTTACACAACATACTTTTTTTCTGGGACAAGCTGTGAATCTTTTATTGTTGTAAAATGGATCAGACCTTGGTTTAAAGCGAACCATTTCATTTGATTGTATCTCGACCAACCCAGATACTTGTTTTCCTTCTGTCCGCGAAGTGTTGAATATGAAACTTCAGGAAACAGATGCAATGTCGAGTACAAATCACTCGAACACAAAGAGACGGAGAGAGAGCATTCACAGCACCTATGAAAAGAAATAAAAAGTGGTGGATAAATGACACATGGGACTGGGGCGCCTGAAATCCTGGGTTTGATTCCACCAAGATAAGATAAAATAGACTTTATGGATTTCACACTGGATAAATGTTGTGGAAATTTCCTTAATGATCCATGGAAACAGAGTTGCATTTTTTGTGGTTTAATGAAAGTAAAAAAGTTCATGATAAAAACAAGCATTTGCAAATGGAGAAAGCTTCTGTAGTCGCTCCTCGGACCCTGCATCAGTTTCTCTGACACACAGTGGGATTCACACAAGCTTTATCAGGATGGTCCGGTCCCTCATTGACCACAGGAAAAACACATGTCACACCGCTGCACTGATTAAATGAAAATAGGTAACTCAAGGTAGGAAGAGCAGAGGAACAAGGGGGGGTTAAGGGGGTCGAGAGGACAGAGGCAGAGGACACAGGAACACGACACTGTCCCAGTCCAAGATCACATCATCCACACGATCAGGGAAACAGTCACATCAAAGGAGACGGTCAATCACTGTCTAATAACTAAACTCACAAACTGCATCTTAACTTACTCAAACACCTTCCTGCCATAAAACAAAGCCCTCGGAACCATTTGTAAATCATCACAATTCGCCCACATGCTTTAACCATGTTCGAGTAATTTTTGCCATTACAATGTACAGACAGAAGTGTGCACACATGTTAAAGGTTAAAATATAGTCTGTGCAGGATACAATAATGTACAATGAAAAAAAAGAAAGAAAGAAAGATCCTTTCTGTGTGGAGTTTGCATGTTCTACTAATGTATGTGCAGAAATACAGATATTTATGTAGAGTAAAATACAGAGTATTACAGAAGACTACAACACACTGGATTGTAATTCTAGAAACACTACCCTAGAAATGAGTTCTGACTTTACTTTGGAACTTGGGATTGTTGTGGGAGTTTCTATCCAAAGTAAGGAAGAAGCTCGAAAGGTATTTGTCTTAATCAGGAGCGTAAGTTTATTGTAACACACGTGCGGAGAACTCACATACACAAAGCAGCGTACATCAGTTCTGGCGGGGCCAGACACAGGTCCCTGTTTACATAGACAACACATGAAAGACAGTCACGCCCACAAAAGATGGGAGGGGGTCACAGTTTGAGACGGGCATCCGGATGGCGAGGCGCCATGCCTGGTGAGAGACAATCAGATTGTGCCATGGGGATGCAAACAGAGGGACAATAGACATGCAGGATGTAAAAGGTCGATAGAGATGCAGACATACGGACCGATAGAGATGCAAGATGCAAAAGGGGCAAGGGTGAGATAGTAATTTGCGTCATTGTCTGTCGGTGCAGGGGGGAGCCCGGCTCCTTCCTGCAGGTTAATTGAATAGAGCAGCGGGGGGGGTGAGTTGGCGTCCTTGAGGCTAACCAGCTTGCCATAACACTCCTCTCCCGTGATAATGTAGAAACCCCAGTTTTACAGAGATCACATTCAGGTGGGTGAGTTTTGACCTTGGTTCCTGAGCAAAACAAGAGTTGTTGATGGGCAGGCTACGCTGCCGTCACCCAAGCCTCTTGTATTACGAGGGTGTGGTCAAAGCTCTTCACTGTGATACCCTCCCCCTAAATTGTAGGCGGAACAAGTGGAAAAATAAAAACAAGGTAAACAAGAAAGAAAAACGTTAGACAAAGTCGTCGTCCGAATCGCTGATATAATCAGGATCGGAGTTCAGTGGGACAGCGGCCAGGTCCGCCTCAGGGTCTTTGTATTGAATGGACACAAAGTGAGTGGATATCATTTTACCAACGGCCCGAAACACCATAGGTAATACACATGAAAATAAAATCATAACAGTCAATAGGGCTAAACCAAGATTAATGAGCACACTCCGCCAGGAGGACAGGAGCCAGTCCAGACCGTGAGGAGTGTCCGTGACATTGTCCGCTTGCATGGCGTCCCGGAGTCTAGTCAGATTGGCTATGCCCTGTTGGATAAGACCTCCGTCCTCATCATTAGCCGGAATATATGTACAGCAGGACGACCCAATGATCGTGCATACGCCTCCCACAGACGCGGACAGGTGGTCCAGGACCAACCGGTCCTGAAGAACAACGGCACGTAGGTCGTGAAGTTCAACTCTCTGTGATTCAAGTATGGCCACTGTGGTATTGACAAAACCTGAGAACCTATAGCTCAGGGTCTCCGTCCTTAGCATTAGTTTACCTACACCCAGGCTGGGGAATAATGCTAACATTATTTTCTGGCCTGTGGTCCATAATTTGTGGTCATGGCGATGTTTGGTCTTGGAGCGGCAAGACTCTAATCGCGTTGAAGCCTTGGCCTCAGCACTCGGTTGGGCAGAGTGCTCGGGGTTTGGGGTGTGGCCTTGGGGTCCGGGGGCTGGGGAGTTGGGCAAAGGGGGGTCGCCTCGGGATTCGGAGGCAGGGGAGTTGGGCAAAGGGGGGTCGCCTCGGGATTCGGAGGCAGGGGAGTTGGGCAAAGGGGGGTCGCCTCGGGAACGCTGGGGTTCTCTGGGTGTTGTTGTTGGCCTGCTTCACCGACGGTGGTCGCACGCCGGCCGACCTCTTCAGCGTAGGGAGCCGCGGATGGGCCTGGTCCGTCCGCACCCTCGGTGTCCTCGTCTATGGCCCTCAGTGGCAGCACCGCACAACAGTGGTTGGCGTGGATCCAAGTGGTCCTCTCCGCGATCTTAACGGCAGTGTCCGTCACCAGGAGGACGAGGAATGGGCCCAGCCAGCGCTTGGACCGCCAATGCTTTCGTCTCGTTTCCTTCACCAGGACCCAGTCGCCTGGCTTGATCTTGTGCAGAGCCGCCTGCGCAGCCTGTGGCAGGGCGCTCCTGACCTGGGCAGAAATAGAGGACAAAAGTGCATTAATTTCCTTACAATAGGACAGCATGTTGTCATCACACAAAGAGGTGCTTGGCAAATCTCTGGTCGGGGGTCCCGCGCCCAAGTTGGGTGGTCTGGCAAAGAGGATTTCGAATGGGCTTAGGTTTGACCTTGACCTGACTCTCATGCGCATGTACATGAGGGCTAGCGGCAGAGCTTTGATCCAAGACAGGTCTGTCTGTTCGCAGATTTTAACAAGTTTGTTTTTCAGAGTGCCATTCTCTCGCTCGCACGCCCCTCCGCTCCAGGGGGCGTAACTGCAGTGTTTACGTATATCAATGCCCAGAAATTCACCTACTTCCTCAATGACTTTTGCTACAAAGTGACTGCCATTGTCACTAGAGATTTTTTCCGGGACACCCCATCGTGGCACAATTTCTGTGAGCAGAGCTTTCACCACCGCGTTGCTCGTGGCGTGTTTGCATGCAAATACTTCAGTCCATTTGGACCAGAGATCCACCAGAACCAGACAGTATTTCTTACCTTGGCATGGTGTGAGTTCAACAAAGTCCATTTGGACATGTTGAAATGGGCGCAGGGGCGGAGGATGGGCAGCCTGTTGGATAATTTGGGACTTACCCGGGTTGTGCGCGAGGCAGATAGCGCATGTTTGGCAGAATCTCTGTGCAAATGCCGTAAACCCCTTTGTATACCAATTTTGTGTAATTAAATTACACATCCCTCCTTTTGAGGCATGGTCTCGACCATGTGCTAAAATCGCAAAATGTCTGAAGAAATGCCGTGGTAAGCACGGTTTGAGGTCTGGTCCCAGCCACACACCATGCCGTCGTTTGAGCCCCATTTCCCTCCCACAGCACCGTCTCTGCTGGAGTAGCCAGTGCCTGCATTGCTGACAGAGAGGAGAAAATATCAACGTCTTGAGTGAGGTAGTGTGTGTGTGTGGGTAGAGGTGAGTATGCCGCTGCCTTCGCTGCCTTGTCCGCGCGCCGATTCCCTGCAGAGATGGGGTCAGTGGCATTAGTGTGGGCCTGGCATTTGCATACAGCGATCTCTAAGGGCAACATTACAGCTTTCAGCAGATGTTCAACCTGTGTGGAATTAAGAATTGGTTTACCATCAGATTTCATGAAATTGCGGTGTTTCCACAGTGCCCCCCAGTCGTGCACCACAGAGAAACCATAACGCGTATCACAGAATATGTTAACAGTTTTGCCCGCTGCCAGCTCACAAGCCCCGGTGGGCGCGACCAGTTCAGCGGTTTGTGCTGAATGGTGGTGGGGCAAACTACCAGAGTCTATAGTATCAAAATCAGAACACACAGCATAGCCGACTCGGTTCTTCCCAGTGTTGTCACGTGACGCGGATCCATCTGTATAGAAAATCAAGTCAGGATTAGTCAGAGGCACCTCTTTCAGGTCTGGCCTGGGAGTGCATATCTGTTCTATTGTGGCGATACAGCAGTGTGCCTCCCCTTCCTCTGGCGTGGGCAGCAGTGAGGAGGGGTTCAGCTGTGTGCATCTTTTCACCGTGACATTGGGGAGTTCAAGGAGCACCGTGTTGTATTTCAGCCAACGAGCCGCAGAAAGGTGAGAGGTTTTCTGCTCTAGCAGGATCAGGGAAACAGCATGGGGCACAAGCAAAGTTAGTTCAGTGTATCCCACAAGGTCACGTGATGCTAGGGCCGCTTTCTCAGCGGCAGCCACAGCCCGCAGGCAGCGAGGCAACCCTGCTGCCACGGGATCGAGTTTTGCTGAGAAGTAAGCAGTGGGTCTCAGTGGCCCTCCGTGAGATTGCAAAAGTACCGACACCATGCACCCACACCGCTCATCCACAGTCTGAGTGAATGGCCGGGTTGGGTCAGGGAGACCTAGTGTGGGCGGGCTTTGTAGGGCAATTTTCAGATCACAGAA